GGGACTAACGTTTTTCTGACCAATGACAGACGAGAGGAAGTGTTTTGGAAATAGTCAATATTTTTGCAGTATTGTTTATTGGAGACATTACTTCACCTTAAACTAAACAGCGTACAACTTTCCTTTGAGAAAATAATGCAAAGGGACCTGCAGACAAAAAAAAAATTTTTTTTTTTTTTTTTCATGTCTTTAGCTGGTCTTTTGTGTTCATGCAAGCAGGATATTTTGAGTTGAGAATACAGTGGTTGATGGGAGGAGGAACAGCGAGTCCCAGGACGTGACTTCCCTGAGTTTGAGGGGGCTTCATGGGTGTTTACTTAACATCATCAAAGAGCTTCCTTTCGTTTCATGCTCATCTGTCAAAATGAATGTTACTAAATATGAACGCATGACCGCAAGGCTTAAACCTTAGTACGCTCGGCCGTCCGTGATAAAATGATGTCAACCATTGAAATATTCCATTAAATAAGCTATCTATAAAAATATGCAACTAATCAGACAATGTCACAAACAGCATCATCCTGTTGAGACGCCACACGCTCCTCAGATCCTACAACACAAACATCAAAGCTCAATCTCCTGCTGACCCGTTATAAACATCGGCACGGATCTGTTGGCCGAGCCGTTTGTGTTTTATCTGATGAGGATGTATAAGGCGCACCATGAGGAAAACGGCATACTGGGATGAGAAAACTCCGCCGAGCCTCTAAAAACACCCCATCCTTCCTGTGAGCCAAGAAAAAAAGCAAGGTAAAGCAGCAACAGATGAGTGCAGGGCAGGACAGAGAGAAGGCAGACGTGGGCTCCCTTGGGTACAAGTTGACCTCCGTGTACTCCTCAAGCTTGGAGACTCCCGTTGCTGGGTCATGACTTGAGCTTTTCTCTCTTTTGTCTTTCTTCCCCCTCCCTCTCATCTTTCTGACTCACTGTGGACTAAATTAGCTGAGAAATGAAACATGGGGGATCAAAACAGACAGGACGAGAAAGAAAGAGAGAGCGAGAGAGAGAGAGAGAGAGAGTAAGAAAAAACACAGCTGGCCCTTTTGATAGTTTTGAGTTCCCATAATGCTACAGTACCTCTAATCCAAACCTCCTCTGGTGACACGCTAGCTTTTTGTGGTCCTGTGTGTGCTCATTTTTCAGCAACTATCAGCAGACGCACAAATCCAGTCTGGAAGTATTCTTAATTTTAGACTTTACGAAACTTGAGGAAACTAGATAACTCCCAAATGTGTCGAAACTCATTAAAACCGCAGAGCGGTGTTTACCGCAGACTGTGTGTACCGTCACACTTGGCTCATACAAAGTCCCAACATATTTTCATTTTGATCCACTCTTCCCATAAAACCTGTCATCGATCTTCATTAATCAAACTCAACCTCCACGATCTCGGACAAGGGGAACGGCAAGCTTGGGACTCAGAATAACTGGATACGCTTTGATTTCCTATAGGCCACTGGCTTGATCCCCAAATGCAAATTAAACTATTAGTTGTAAGTGGTGGGTCCCAACATGAATATTGACTAAACGGGTCAATGTCACCTGTTAATGACACGAGAGCGGATGAGTCTACCCTCCAGCGAAGCCAACACAAGGTGAGCCCAAGCTGCATTCTCACGTCTTTCGGGAAGATTTATTTTCTTTTTGCTAGCATGAAAATAGGCATTAAAAGAAAGAGAAACAGATAAAACATGACGTCTGAATGTCCCCCTATAGATTTATTTCTATAATTTGCTAAACAAATGGTGGCAGCAACCCCTGTCTTTTAATACAAATACATCACAATTTGATAAATGATAATCCAGTATTTCTCACATTTCTCACCAGGAATGAAAATGAATATGAAAAGGCAGCAGGCTGTTTAACACACTACAACAAAACCTCCCCATCTTTAATACAACATAATAAATCTTTGTTAGACAATAAAAGGTATTAACCTCATACTCGTGTTACAAAAAAACACAAATCAAAACTGAGTTGTAACAGCACTGCACATTATGTATCTGTAAATGCAGGCTGATTTGTATGTAATGTTGCACTGAGAGACTTAAGCAAAGTGAGCCGCTCAACAGCACTCAAATTCTGACAGTATTTTCATATTTCGAGAGCATGGTGGTGCGATTATTGTCAGCAGGAGCACAGTGTGTCAGTACACTCGGAGCTTGAACGGTAGTGCGACCAATGACACAGAACAGTGGTACGTCCATCAACATGGAGACGGAACGATGGCGTGTTTGCAGAGCACCAGGCCCGATTGGCTAACGCAGGGGCATTCTGATTGGCTGCCTCAAATGCTTTCTGGGCCCAGCGGTGCGGTTAAGAGCCTGGATTACTGAGGTCATTAGGCAGCATTGCCACGGTGACGTGATTAGTCAGGTAGCAAAGTCCATTTGTCACCTGCACCAGAAAATTGAGTTAATTCAGCACTACAGGCTAAAGGGACTGTATAATATCAACTTGATTACATCAAGGCAGCTGCAGACCTGACACTTCGCTGAATTTGTCAGCTTTAATCGTTAGAGCCTGTCACAAATCCATCAGGAGCTCAGATAATTAGGGTTCCTCCCTAATGAAGCCAGCAGAGGAACCTTTACCTTTATGTCGGATAATTAAGAAGCCTCTGGTGCTGAGGACAGAATGCGTTTTAATGACTCCCCGTGCTGGTTCCACCCTCCTCGCGTTTTATTTTTCTTCTTCCGAGTGTGTTTGTGTGCGCTATTGTTTTTCCAATTTGAATCTCGTCTCAAATGTTTGTCTCAAAGTAATTCAATTGAAATTGTCACTTACGTTTAGAAAAAGTAAAAAAAAGGGCGGAAGTAAAATCAAATTAAGTTAAACTGAACAATAAGTAAAAGCAGCCAAAATATTGCAAACCACCTCACGGCGATGTTTACGCCGCGGCTATCAAGAGGACAGAGGTGCGTGAAATGGATGCAAACCGAGCGGGTCTCTGTCTGCGTGGGAGGTTGTGAAAACACAAAACCAAATGAAACCTGGAGCAGCGGAGAGATACCGCATTCATCGCCGAGTCCTCCCCTGGCTCCTCTCCTCTCTGCTAGAGCTCAAACTCACAGACACAGTCTGTGCTCTACGTGGGAGGCCCGTGTCTGTTTCAGAGAAAAGCCAGCAAATAAATACAAATGACTGCAGCAGCCCAACACAGAGAGGGCCACTCCGATCCCACTGCACCAAAGCGACCTAAGCCCACAGCCGACGCATGTAAATCACTCAGAGCAAACAATGGCAATGATAGCAACCAAATCAAGGCAAACTCATCCGTTAAAAGAGGTGGAGCATAACAGAGAAGTGGAGCGGCAGCAGAAAGTGCTTTTAGTGCACGGCGCAAATTTCAGAAAAAAAATAATCAGACCGCTCGAGTGATTTACAAGTTTAAATAAAAACAAATCACCTTGTCACACTAAGCGGCTTTTCTTTTTATACCGTCAATCAATAATTCCTAACATTTATATTTTGATGGAGAGGGGGAAAAGTGTCAGGCTCTGGGAAAAAACGGAAACAATGTGCCTGCCAACTTTTGAATGACCATTAAAGCAAATGATGAACATGCCTGTCAGAATAGAGAAAATTAAATCAATATTCAGCTGAGGTGGAGGGGGCTGATGGCTTGTTTTTGTGGAGGAGCTGCCAGGTCAGATTACCAGGCGCCATCTCACCTCTGTGAGCTTTCGAACTCCCCACGTCAGTCTCGCCATACAGCCAGGGAGACGAAATAATCCCTTAAAAATGCCATTTCCCTCCACTGAGCAGAAAGGTAAACGTAAAAAGACCAAGGAACAATAAATGTTAGTCAGTTGAAACGAATGAAACGTCAGCTATGTATCGCACTTGTTAGCCCACATAAAGTCGACCGAGGTTACAGCAGTGTGTGTGTCTGGTATGTCGGCTGTTCCCTCATCAGTCAAATATCACGGCCTAATTCTGCAGATCAGTAACTCTGCTGATGCTTGAACTTGAAAGAGAGCCTTCATTCGGTAGAGAATGGACCTGTTAGTCACAGAGATTAAATGGGAGAAGAAGAAAAAAAACGAAGGAACAGAAAAAAAAGAGAATGCCAAAAGGACAAAGTGGAACTCCCTTTATATAATACAACAAAATGGTTTCAAATATAATGGCTAGTTTGTGTTTTATCGCCCAAAATGAAATCCAACAGCACTCATAACAAATCAGAGATCCGCTCTCTTGATCCTCGTAGAAGATTCATTAAAAACAGAAATCAGTTCCGTCTTGTAACATCAAAGAGCACAGGTACATTTCGCATGAATAAATTGAGCTAAGAGGAAAACAGATCTTAGTGCAGAGGCCTTGCTCAGTGACATCTATCAGGGAAGAGATGTTCTCTCTGCTACATTTCGTGCTCTCGACACGCCCCAGCAATCCCTTATCCCCCTCTTCTCTCCCTCTCTTTGAATGAGGAAAAAAAGTAGTGTATAACCCTGCCGAAAACTTCTTTCCTTTCTCTATTTTCACGCACGACGGGGGCAAAAGTTGTCCTTTGAGTGGCTGCGGCCGCACAGCGCATGCGTGTTTCCATGGTGAATGATTTACTGATGTTTATCAGGAATGAATAGATCAAAGCCGGCCACATGACAGGCGATCAATCAAGCATCAAATCAAGGATGGCAATCCGCAGCTAAATAGACGAACTGGAGCACTTTGAAACTACATTTTTACTCGACTACATAGGCCACGGTGGAGTGGGAAGTTTTAATTTGGCACAACTTTAATTGCAAAACCGTACGCAGGCTTTTTAAAATAGATTAATGCATTCTGCTGGATTAATTAATGCATTCTGATGAAACTACCGGTGTTTTTAACATTCTTTAAAAGTTAGAGACTAACATAAAACAAATCAAAAAGTAAAAAAAAAAAAAATGCTAATCAAATTACGAACAACCCACATAACGAAGTGTGAGTGACTGTATGCCTTTCCCCCCAATACCTATTTATAGGAGTAAACAAAACAAGCATGCACCGCTTACCTGAAGATCGCCTCGGCGCTTGCTGCTTTCTCCGCGGCATGCTGTCGTCCCACCCTCCACTTGACTTCTCATACAGAATCAAAATGCCAGTGACGAGGGACAAGAATTAATTTCAAAAAAATTAATACAAAGCATGTATTAACGCGTTTCCTCTTCTCCTCGGAGTCTGTCTTTTTATTCCACCTCTTTAAAAAGTCACTTTGAGCCAATACAAAGTCTTAGAGGGGTCAATAGGTCTTGAGAGGTTGTAGTTCTTTTTACAGACAAAAATGTCTGTAAAAATAAAAAAAAATGAAAGTGTATCTGGCCGACAGGTTTAATAATTAGCTATAAGTCATAGCATGATTGCCAAGAGCTCAAGATATATCTCCCGTCCATGTCTAACGGCGCATAAACACAGAAAACCCGCTTCCTTAGGTTCTCCTTGGATTATGGCAATAGTTTGTAGCAAAACGGAAGAAACTTCCAGTTATGGAGAGCCCGTCCAACTGTATTTCCGTCCTCTCGCTCGGTGGAAAGCCTAAAACCGGGGCAAAACCAAGGGAAAAGACAAGGCAGACAGGAGACAGTTAATGTCAGTCACAAATGGGGCTCGAGCTCAGTGCGCATTTTCAACGGACTAAATTCCCCACGCGCGCAGTGGAGAGTCTCTGCTCGTGCTCCTCCCGATATTCACCAAACACACTGTCCGTCCATGCTCAAGGAAACATGTGGACAGTTGATTCGGGCGAGCGTGACGCGTTTACTACAGAGCGATATATAAACAAAAAACACACTCTCTCGCAACGAACGTGAACTAATTACTCTTTTTTTAAAAAAACAAAAACTCCAGGGAGCGAAACGGCGTTCTTGGTCTCGCGGCTCTTCGCTGAAATATGTATCGCGCGTTCAGGATGCGTGAGCGGTTCAGACAGTCTCAACTGATAGACAGACACATCGAGTTGCCTTTCCTGCCTCTCTCTCTATACTCCACCCCTCCGGAGCGTCACTCTGACAGTGAAAACCCACCTGTCAATCTTTTTAATTGTTCTGTTTTTTTTCCCTCCCCACAAAACAGGATCGTTTGAAAGACAACGAAGTGAACGAACTGCCTTTTTGGAGAAGACATCACTTGTGTGTATGCTGTCCATTCAAACACATACACGCAGTATACGGTTTTATTTATTTAAAAAAAAATAGTGCTGTTCAAAAATGAACTGGCTATTACAGTTTTCTCAGTTATGCACCGTTCTCGGCGTTATCGTGAAAATAAGTTTCACGTCACGCGCAAACATTAACGCAGGGGTGTCCGCTGTAAACATTTCATTTTATTTGGTCTGAAATTTTAGGACAGTTTGTCACGCACGTAACAACATTTCTTTGATCCTTTCACTGTCTTTTATTCTTTTTGCCAGTTTTCTCGATGACGTTTGCCGAACGTTCAAGCGCTTAAAGGAAATTGTTTGCGACCCTTTTCCATGCCCGTAAAAAAAGGACAGTTGGAAGTTACAGATTGATTCGTTACACCTTACTAGGAAGTGAACACTTTGCACGGGAAGGGGAGGGACTCGTGGAACAAGTTGAGTATGACCGTAACAAGCCTCTCTACAGCGCTTACACATTACTTATTCATCAATTGCTAAACATCCACAAATTAAATAACGAGGCCACGGTGTTAGACATTTCGGATAGGTTAAGAACTGTAAAAAAGTCCGTAGCATATCTGCTCTTCCGTACTTTGTTGACACGGTGTACCTGGCACCCCCCAAAATCACACTTAAATCTCAACTTTGTTTTTGTCTTTAAACCAGCGTTGACGCAATGTCCACTCTTTCTGTAAGTTGGCGAGTGGGTGGGTGTGTTTTTAAATCGCTCGGAAGGGGAACGCGAGAAATCCGAGTGATTTTTTTTAGGTGGCCTTAGCTCGCTCCGGTCGCCTGATGTTTCTAACGGATTTTGAATGTTCTTCGACCACCGCGCGGGGATTCTGCTGCGATTTTAGCGGATAAATCAGCCTGTGGACCAACGCGAGAGGTTCGCCTTGCATACCGGTGAGTGTACACATTTGTTAGTATAGAGTAAATGTATGAATAAGCCAGGCTAGGATATTATACATCACCACTACCACCGAAGCGTTATATCTCTGTAGTACGCGACGTTTAAATCATGTTCTTACCTTTGACGGTGCTGCGCATCCTTGAGCTATTGCCAGTTGCAATATAACTGTTCATTTATGCTGTACGCCTGTCGGTAGGGGCTAATAATGTGAAAATATGTCCAAGTTCCGCCCCAACATCTGTCCATCTATCCATCCTCGCGACTGCCTCGATCAGCCTGTCGCTGTTGATGGCTCTTACGTCACCAATCTCCCATCAGAAACTCATCGGGCTCAAAGAAGCCAAGATTCCTCCCGCTGTAGGGCAGAAGCATCGCTGGGCAAAAATGCATCGGTTTTCCGAGATTATTGCGTGGTAACATTTTTGCAAGACAAAAGTACAATGATAATTAGCTTGTCATTTTCAAATAAACGTTTGTTATAAAGAGATTTCTGTGTATTTTCTAACAGTTGACTTAATTTTAACTTTTATAACCTGTATTTCTATAATCATAATTATTATTACTATTCTTCTTATTATTGATTTATCTTATTCTTATTATTGCTGCCGTGGAAATCACATTTAAAAACCATGCATCTAGCTCATTGTAGCTGTCCTTCCACTTTTCTTTAGCAGTTTCTTAGTGTAACTGTGACTGAAATTCGCGTCCATTCTCTAGAAATGAATGCTTTGTGCTGTTTTGTCGTGGTATTTATATCATTGTGCTTTATTTGCTCTATCCTATTAGACTTACAAATCAGTTTTCTTTCTTGTTTGGAGCAGTTCATTGTCCTCCAGAATTAATGTTTGGTATTCAGCATTCTGATGAAATTCTCGTTATAAGATGTTGTTAGTGTGCACTTAAAAGGAATTTAATGCTTTATATAACAGTGCCTGACTGTGCTAAACATATATTAATATAAGTGATTACTAACAGCAATAATAATGTGTTTGTACATAAAAGTACATAAATGTGCAAATAAATTTACTAAGTACATATTAGATATATGTTGTTTATTGGTATCAGTAATTTCATTATAACATTAACACTGTAATGTAAAGTGTAAATAAAAATAATGCAGTAGACAAAAATTCCCATGCTGATCATGCTGGCTTCCTCTAAACCCAAACTAGAGTGTGTCTTGGCATAGTGAATTACCCAGCTGTGCTCATTATATGCTGATGAATTGAAATGATTTTAGATAATTAGATATACAAACAGTTACAGTATTTTCAATTGATGTGTTAGAGACAAATAAGTAAAACTATTTATTTCTGCACTTTGTATTTTATTAACAATAACATGTGCCAGAAGATTTTGCTAGTAAACATTAGTGTTGACAGATCGGCATGTGTGTGTGTTAAATGTGTGTTTATTGTGTGTTTTGGCAGTTGTTATCTATATTTAATGTATAAATCTTTGCGTGTACCTATCATCTTATTCAGTGTGGGACGTTTTATTCTTTTGTAAAAGGCCATGCCTGAAGGAATGCCACGCAAGCATAAGCGTAAAGCTCAAGATGCGATGCCAACGCACTTTGAACAGTTCGTGTGGAATCTGAACTCTGTCATTTTCAGCTTTATAGTGCTGGTCAAAGCTCCTACAATAGGAGAACTGTTCATTTTTGCCTTTCCTACACAAGTTCTGTGGTTCTCTTATTAAATTAATGACGGGAAATGATTGGAAAACATGAGCATTAAAGTATAAGTGAGTAACTGTGTAAAAAAATAAAATATGTATGTTCTCCCCCACTACATGTAGTGTTAAGAAATATATATTTTCATTTTTAATTTATTAACTTAATGTATTTTAAGAGAGCAGCTTCAGATTGTAGATTGTATGCCTTTTATGGTGTTATAGTGTTTTAAACTGATTCTCCATCACTGCTTTTAATGCATTTATACTTTATAGAAACTGGAGCAAATGGATTTGGTTCATCTCTCTTATGTTATGAAAAATAACATCAGATTTATACGCATTTCAGTCTGATCTGCTATTTGCTGTAGCTGGCCCAATTTGCATTAAAATGCCAGGACATGCTATGATGCACATTATATCTTCGTGTCTCAATATTACGCTGTCTGCTTAAGGGATCGCAGACGGATGGTACAAGACTGGAACTGAAAAAACCGAGGGAGATTCGAGGTGATAGTCTTTGAAGTAGTTTTTTATATATATATATATGTAGCATGTCACATCACATCAACAAATTATGATCCAAATTGCCCGCACGCTACAAGAGGCGGGATGCCTTCATACGTGTCCAAAGATCTGTATGGTGAGATCTGAAGGTTTATAAACAAAAACATAGCTAGCTGTCACTGACGTATTTTTGAGTAGAGGAACTCTGTAGACTGTCACAATGACAAAAAAAGGGTATATTTTCTTATTTAAAAAAAAGGACTTGATCATACATTTTTCATGTGTGTTAGAAATGCACACACTTACTAATTCTGGACTGTGGCTTTCAATGGTAATGTAAACAGTCTGTGGAGAAACATTTACAAAGCAATCATACAATTCTCCTAAAACTTGAACACATTATGCAAATATGTGTGTCAAGTGATCTTTTTTTAATAATCATGTACTTCACAAAATCAGCAGGCAAGATCAATACCAATTACAGGATGCAGCATTATTTTTCAGCAGCATATCTCCCCCATGGGGTTACAGAAATAGCTTTGTTTTGTGAATCTTGCGAGGAAGTACCCTAACCTTGCATGTGACTCAGATGTATTGATTATGCTTCCAAAATGTTATTCTTGTCTTGCAGGTGATGCTGCTGTTCAAAAAGGACGGTCTTGCAGCCCACAGGTCAGAGGTCAGCAACACTCGCATATTTAAATATGTTCCTGACAATATTTTTGTGTGTGTGTAAACCTGTTCACAATTACACATGAAGCCATCCAGCTATTAAAGGCGATGATCGCTTGGGTGTTAACGTCAGTAGTGTTAAAATTATAAGTGTGCACTTAAACACGGCAACCCAAAGAGTGGTAATAATACTCCGGAACGGCTCAGTGGTGTAACCTTACGTCTGTGATCATGATCAAAGCCATTTACATGCCAACGCTGCAATTATGTTTATTAAAACTAATATTGCTACATCGCTACAATCACTTTTAAGTTGAAATGTATACAGTATTACAATTACAGTTCTGTGTCACTGTAACAACTGTTGTTGCCACTGATTTTAATGCATTAAGCCAGTACATATGTGTGTTTTTCACTGTGTTTGAAATAAAATACAATTTGCTGATTCATTAATTTGCCGTTTTTTTTATTTTTAATTTATATAATCGTGCAAATAAAGGACAATGGACAAAGTTATGGTGTCTTTTGTTATCATTTGAAAAGTCTTTTTAAATTATTAAATAGGATGATTGCATGTGGAAAAAAAAGTAGTTTAATAGTAAAAAAAAAATAGCGAGTGAGCAAGTTTTATTACTCAAGTCAAAAATCTATTTTATCACAATTATTCCTTCATAGGGATTTTTTTTTCTTTTGTCATAAAAGCAGGAGACACTGACGAGATTTTTGATAAAACTATTTTATGCCATATAAAAACTTTCAGCTTCAATCAACGACTGGGTCAAATGAATTTTGTACTGTCATTGACAGGCGAAAGCTAAGAATTTATAATACAAAAAATAATAAAGAGAAGGCTTTTACTGGGAAGAATATCTTGAAACCCATCAGATAAGGCAGGGTAATTAAAATGTCACCTTTCTCTGGAGGAAGGAGGCCCATCACACAGCTTTACGTAATTCATTACTTTTCTACTTTCAACTAAATGCTGATCACAAACCTTCTTTGACTTGAGAATCTGACATGTGGTGGAATCCCTCCATTTTAGTCTTTTTATTCCCTTCAAATAATAGATAAAAGGTTGTTTTATAACATGATTGTTCATTTATAACAAAAAAAAAGACTTTATTAGTGCAACACATGAGATGTGATTACATGACATGTTTTTGTCGTTATTGTAAACAACGTGATTGAAATGCTGCTAAAAGTAAGCGTTTTAAAGTCCAGATGCTGTCAGTTGCACAATAGACATCTTAAATTAAAACAATCCTAAACACAATGTTTTGTTTATATATGTGCGTGTATGCAACAAGTCGGTGTCCGAGACGTTTTTGGAATCAGTTTGTAGTTGCCTATCCGGATCTTTCAGGTTTCTTCAACCAGACTTTAATTCTCTGTGTGACTGTATCTGGTTATTACCTCATAAACGTCTCTTCCTGCTCCGCTGCACCTCCACGTTCAGGAGGGGCTTCCGTCCCCCCGATCCTTCCCACCGAACCCTGTGCGTTTCAGCGGGAGTTAAGTGACACATTTCACATTTCAAAATACCATCCTCCAACATGAGTCCCGCTGCCTGCCATACCACCTCTTTTGTTTTCTTTGACACATGCGGTCTTCTTCCAATTAGCATTTTTCAGCCATTAAAGAGGAGAGAGGAGTGCTGAAATGTTTTCCTGTTTCATTACCACTGACTGCACCTCTTTGATTGGTTGCAAATGGAAATGTTCTGTAAAAACATCATTTTCCGCAGAAGCTCGAAAAGAGAGTGGCCAGATAAAACTCCTGGAGTCATATTTAAGCATGCAGGATTACTGGAAACGTCTCTCTCAGCGTTTTATTGACTGGATGAATTTAAAAAGTAAAAGAGACGGTGCAAAGATCGAGATGAGAGTGATTTATATTCCTTTTTTAAAAAGGATATTTCCCCACTTTTTAGATCTCGTCATTAAATATATAGCAGCGCAGTCCTGTCCGTTTTTATTTATCTGTTGGTTTGTTTTGTTTGCTCCCCAGGTCTTATTTTCACTGAGGAAAAGGCGAACAATTTCGAAACATTTCATTCTTTCATACTTCTGAACCATAATTATTAAGATGTAACCATTTTAGATCAAAGATATGCATGAGATGCCTCTGATAATGTATGTTTTTTAAGAGAAACAAAATAGGATGGGTTTTTTTTTCTGCTTCAGTCAAACTCATAGCCTGAGGGTTTCGGTTAGAGAGAGATCTCTCCTCTATACTGATGCAACAAAGAGAAAAACAGCCCCCTAAAGCTGCTCGGAGTGCTCTACTTCTGACGCTTAGTGGAAATGTGTTTGTTATTATAAAAGATCTAAAAGCATTAATAAGAACAACAAGAAATGTTTTCCTCTTTTCTCCATTGGCCAGCTAAAATATCATGCATGATGCCAAATATTGTGCATTCGAGAGCATTCAAATAAATGAGTGGGTTTTTTTCCTTTTCTTTTTCCCTGAAAAAGACAAGAGGGAAATTATCCTTAGAGTCTTAGTAAAATGAAATGATAAATATAACCAGAAAAAGGTCACATCTCACAGCCCAAACCTGCCATTTCTGTTTAGATATGGCTGCCTAAAACACAAGTCAGTAGTTAGTAGGTGTTTATATAGGGGTTTGGGTTTATGTAACACTGAGGAGGCTCCGTACGCACCATTTCAGTCCACCCGTCTTCCACACTAAATGTCCCTTCACTCTCTTTGCCAGAAATTGGTTGATTCAAACAAACGCCCCTATAGTCTGACTGTCTTTGATCCGGGTGTTGAACCAGACCAGGTTTTCCGGCCCTACGTTTGTCGCTCCACACCCTGGAAGGATCCTGAACGCCGTCCCTGTCTTTCCAAAAAGCCTTCGGCTAGCTCTGGCTGGCCTCTGATGACGCCAGACTCAAGGCTATATCAGCAAATCAGACGTATACGGCTCTGCTCCACCCCAAACTACCCTGCAAACACTCACGCGTACCGCTTCGTTCTCAATGAGAGTTTTTTTTTTTTGTTGTTGTTCCTCAAATACTGACCAGTTTTCCTCCTTTTTTTTCTCGTTCTTCGAGGTCTAATCAACTGCATATCTCAATTTATTCCTGCTTTAATTCAAGTACATTGGACTATTACTGTAAATGCAATTATTGGTACCCTCTGTAAATATGAGCAATGAAGGCTTTGAAGATTTATCTGCTTTGTTTATGGATTTTTATGTATTAATTTTGATCTATTCATGCATTCATCACACTTTACAATAAGGTTTATTAGTTAACATAAGCTAATATATTAACTAACATGAATTAACAATGAGCAATACATTTGTTACTAGGGGTGTCACGATTCTCCAAATCCTCGATTCGATTAAGTTATCGATTCTAAGGTCACGATTCAATTCGATTCTCGATTTAAAAAAAAAAAATGTAAAAAATGTAAAGCGCAGATTGCTATGCAATTTTTAGACTACACATTTATGCATTATGCAATATAAATTTGTTCACAATGTACACTACACCATTGCCAAATTTAAAATATAACAAAAACAAGTAACATAACTTAATAGTATAACATTTAAAGCCCCTGAAATGACTAGAAAAAAAGTTTAGTTAATTTTGATGAACGAGATTGAACAATAGAGTCAGTAAAACGATCTGAACTTTCCATCACGGACGTGACATGGGGCGTGGCAGTATCGACGATACCATTTTTTATTTCGATTTCGATACCATTGAATTAATTTCGATCAATTTCGATTTAATATCGAAATCGTGACACCCCTATTTGTTACACTATTTATGAATCTTTGTTAATGTTAGTTAATAACAATTACAGCTGTCCATCGTTTATTCGTGTTATTTCACGGTGGTTTAACTAATGTTAGCAAATACAACCTTAGATTTTTAGTAAAAGTTGAAATTGATATTAACTAATCTGTTGATTCTTAGTTCATGTTAAATCAACCTTATTGTATAGTGTTACCTATTCATGTAGTATATACATCAAAATCTCGATCTATCTATCATTTATTTTTATTGATTGATTTGTTTGAATGTACCGTATATTAGTTGGGATTTTAAGTTGTGAGTTCAAAAGAAAAAAAGCACATATACACAAACTTCTGACCTAAATGCTCAATCTTATTAAACTAATTAATCACAGTAGCCTATAATCACGGTGACAAGGTTGGCTGGGTGACATTCTCCAAAATCTACATTTCGATTTTTTTTTTTTTTTTTGGCCAGTCCCTCATGATCTCCTTCGCTCTCTGTTGCCCCATTCATTCAAATATTTTCTCAAGGTTAACAGGTAGAAAATGTTTCGAGTGTGTCGGGCTGCTTTAAGTCGAGGGTGTGGTGGGCAAAGAAGGAGGCGTCTCTCTGGGCCGCATTAATCAGAGAGAATGACAAAACCACATCTGTGACGACAAGCACGGCTCAGCTGTCCGACATCGGCTGTAACGGAGGAGGATAACTTTATTAATCAACATCTCTTGATTAATTGTTATAAAGTGTCGTCCATAAATTTTCCTTCGATTTAATAATTCTTGAGGAAGACTTAACAATCTCCCTCGTGATTTGAGTTTTATTGAGGGCTATGCCGAGCGAGGTGCGCTGACATAAATAGCATCTCAGTGGCCAGTCTCCTCCTCACTGACAGATATGAAATACAATTATCAGTGTGATCTGTTTAAAAATTCATCATCAGCCTACTGTCTACAGAGGAAACACACTCGCTCGCTCTCAATCTCCTGCTTTCTCTCTGTCTCTTATTCATGTACACATACGCACACGCGTAGGGTGTATATGTAGAGGGGTCATAACTGATAAGCTGTTCTATCCATTTAAAATTTCATTGTTTTTTCTCTCCCTCCAGCTCGTTAAGTTATTTTAACTGTGGATATTGTATTATGTGCTCTGGCGCGGCCCCCCCTTTATATTAAAACATAAATCACTGGATAATCAATCAGTAAATGACAATGCTGAGGCAAATCGCTGCTATCATTGTTCCCACACAGAATATCATTAATATGACTCTTATCAGAGATGAAACAGCCAAACGCACTCGAAACGACTCCACATATGGCGCACAATAAATTTTTTAAAGTGACCTCATCCTAACCATATGTTTTTAAACCCTTTTCATGTAATGCTTCAAATACATAGGGGTTGTTCAAACAGGACGAGTTCAACAGCTGCAGAAGAATGGTTCTGAAGGTAGGCAACTTGACATACGTTTATTTTACTCTTTTTAACTTGGGATGCAAAATTCTGATAAAAAAGAAAGAACGATTAAGAATGTACATGGGTCCCGTGGCTTTAAGTGCTATGTACTTACAAAATAAGAAAAATAAGTACTGTACAATGCACTTATTGTGTTCATGTTGTATTGTAAAACACTTTTGCTGCTATTGAGGTGTGATAAGGGTAAGGTTAGGGACAGGTGTGGTGGTATGGGTTGGTAT